TGTTCATATATGTCTCACGACCAATATTGGGGACGTAAACATTGACGTAAATTACCATCTACCAATTTGGGCTAGTAGCCAGCTCTCACCACACTGGTACTATAAATCCAATTCACAATGTCCTTATTAGTTGGCAATTCAAAATGTACACCTTTCTAAGGAGGGGGGATTTTCGCCACCCACTTATTCCGATCACATACTGTGATCTGCTTGTTGCCATAAAAATGGTAATCAATAAAGCAATGTAGTTTATCTACTTATCGGTCATATATCTCCCAATGTAATACTAGAGGCATATATATATATATATATATATATACCCCTGCAAGTAGAGTATTCAGCTGAGTTCGACCGAAATTTGATGAATTCAATAAATCTTGCATTATCAACCCTTTGTTGCTTGTTATGTATATGAAATTAAGAATCCCCATTGAGTCATCACCTGTTCATGTTTCTTGGTCAGTATAGACTCTCCATTTAGCTTCTTATTTATAAATTTGTGACAGCTATCAAGGACTGCTGATTTGAATTGTTGTAGGTTCTCTTGAGATGTTCGTACTAGATGATAGGTGTAATAGACGAACATATTGGCTCAAAGGGATTAAACATTGGAATACCTACCGATTATTTGAAGGAATTCTTCTGTGGAAATGCCCTCTAAATGTGGAATTCTCTTCCAATAATGAAATATATGTATATAGACAAAAGGATGGTATAGCTAGCTATAGGTTCACCATTAGGCTCGTTGCATGCAGATTTCTTCATGTCAGAACTCGAAAACACATATTTAAAGAAAATGATTAACACCTTTGGATTCTACAAGAAATATGAGATTGATGCTTTCCTAATCTGCAATAGAGAAGCGAATTTAGAAGACACTACAGATTTTTTCAGCAGCTGTCACTCTGCAATCCAATCCAATCCACATTAGAGGAGTCTAACTCAAAATTAACTTTTCTGTATGTTCTACTCACAAGAGGGGGACGAAATGCAACACTGAAAACATCCATTCACAGAAAGCCGATATGGAAAGGACAACTCACAAAACTGATTCGTTCATTTGAGCCACAAAATTCACAATATTTTTTAGTCCGGATACCATAGAAGAGGAACTGTGAACACCTCAAAAAAGGATTCTCATTGAAAACGTCTTCCCCCGAAAGCTTCATGACAAAATCCATGAAGCCTATACCGTTATAACTGCCCACACTATCTGCTCCTAAAAGATTTCTGTATCTGAATAGAGACTCATCGGCAGAAATACTGAGAAACCGTCTCTCCGGTTCATCAAAGTTAACCTTTGCAGTTGCATTTTGACTGACTTCCTTTACAAAACCAAAAGTTCGCATGAGCGTGAAGGATAAGCTACCACTGCTGACCTCACCAGTGTGTGTCTATCAATTCACCTGTTCCTGTGGAACTAGGTATATCGGCAGTACTTAGAGTTTGATATCCAAACACTTACATCGTTTCACAAGGGAAAAAAGAGACATCTTCCTCGCATCTCTATTCTGGAACACCTGATCGATTGACTCTAAAAATCAAGTGAACCCCAAAGAAACTTCAGAATCATCTACAAAGTACGCGGAAATCTTACCAAGGGAGTAAAAATCAAACTTTTTCACACCGCAGAAACGATGCCAATCCACATTTTAAGTTCGGAAATCTGCACACAGAAGAAGCTTTTCCATTCACTGAACCTACAGTGGAGTAGTCCAATTTTAGCTGAGTCCTACTCAACCCGTCAATTACACTAAGTCACACAATTTACTTATTTAATTTTATTTCAGTTTCCACTCGATTAACGCCTTCTGTATTGCGTCATTCCTACCTGAGGTTTACATTTCTGATGACATATCTTTGGAAACATTCCCTTTGTTGCTAAGATATACATAGTAATGTATATACGCAGTTCTATAGCTTGGGAATGATACCGCTGATATACTTTTGTATTTTCATGATATGGATTTATTACTTCGGTTCACGAGTGGTTGGATTCCGAAAGCTGTATCACCACCAGTTTCTCCAAATAGTCACTGATCTTTTCATGGATGGATATATTTGAAGATAACATCTTTTCAATTATACTCACGCCTAAAATATGGTTAAGATATGTGGATGATACTTTTGTTGTGCTAAAACGAGATCTACACAACTCATTCTTGGAGAAACTGAACAATCTATCTCCCAGCATCGAGTTTACTTAGGAAGCAGAATCAGACTTCGGTAAACTACCGTTTCTAGACTGCCTGGTTAAGGGGAAAGAAAATGCATATTTTAATATTTCTAAATTCCGGAAGAAAACACATTCCGACAAATATTTAGACTTCGGATCATCATATCCCATCAGTGCAAAGGCACCAGTTATCTGAAGTCTTCTAAGCCAGATACGCTCTTTAATAACCGATGAGAAGGAAAACGAGGAAGATCTTAAGAAAAATAACTACCCAAAGAACTTCATTACCAAAATCAACACTAACATTAAACACGGTAGAAAAAGTGTTCCGAAGATATGGACCTCAACAGTTGTCGATCTTTCATAACACCAGATGATATCAGAAGAGTGCTCAATAAACATCGGAGTTTTCTTCAGAATATCAGGCACATTACAAAGCAACCTTGTCCATGTAAAAGATCAAATGTCTAAGGATTCTCAATCTGATTATGTCTATAAGATAAAATGCTTGGAGTATAATGGGATATACACCGGACAGACCTCGCGAGAAATCAAGATGAGAAGAAATGAACATCATAGAGCATCTATTTGACTACCACGCAGTTCAGTTGAACTAGAAATGCCTGGAAAATTATCAGACATAGGCCCACACCGTATAAAATCAGGTTACGAAATTGATTTCGATAATACTGAAATCATCCAAAGAATAAAGTATAATTACATTTCAACAGTTTACACACAATGATAAGTTTTGTTATTGGTAATATTTCGAGCAAAATTACTACCCGTGTTCACAGCACTGTTAGAAAAAAACACAGCTCTAACAGCGATTTAAACACGGGCAGTAATTTTGCCCAAAATATTACCAATAACAAAACTTATCATTGTGTAAAAACTACTGAAATCTAATTATACTTTATTTGATCCATTCCACAATGCTTAAACTTTTTACTGACACTGATCCAAAGAAATTTTGGAAATTACGGAAAACATCTCATATCAGAAGCATTTCATATTAAGTAGCGTCCAAATTGCTTGAATAGGGATGACAGACTAAAACAGAATTTCTGACCTATTTGCAACACACACAGACACCCATCAACAAGTCTGCTCCATGCTTTGCAGTAGTTTATGGGTCGAAAAGTGCTGGGGAATCTACGGTTTGATTCTAAATGTGGTTGCGTTTGAAGGTGGTTACTACAGGTTAACATGATTCTGAACCCAATTTCTCTCAACACCTGTTGAAGTAATCAAACTAAAAAAGATATCTGTTTAGTGTGTCTGTTGACATCGTCCCGCGGTTGCAATTATTTTGAGACCTGTGAAAACCCCGTAACTTCTAAAAGTAATATTTCTGGCTGGCACTATTTAAATTAAAAGAACTATACGGCATATTTAAAATCACGAAGCCTGGAGTAGTTGTCGAGAGCACCGTCGATCTATCTATCTACGAGATTACAAATGCCATATCAGATTTTTAACTAGTCACACATAGTTTTTCAAGGTTGGTTTGCAGGAATTTGATTGATCACGAAATGTAAGTTTTAGTTAATTGTCATTCCGGTGAACACATGACTACCGCTTTCTTCAACACCGACCTCCCGGTGGAATATATAGCATAGGCAGTCATGAAAGGACATACATAAACAGGGTCGACCTGTATATAACAACCTACAAGATGGGCAATTTTACCAATCTCGTGAGCTCATTTATGTGCTAACTAACGCTATTTTGGGTAGCTTAGTCTCAATATTACAGCTTGGGATCCCCGATTATCAGCTTGCTGAATAGAATTTATCGGGTCCTTTGTGCCATACAAAGTACTAAACTTAAATTTCACCTTGGAGAAGTTAGTAGGAGAGCTCAGAATAGACATTTCGCTTAGTTGAGGACTTAGTACATCAGCGAATGTGGTTTATGAAGCTCTAACGCCCCATATGAATTCAAATTTTCCATCATGGAAACGCCTGCAAATATCCACGAGTATAATATCAAAGACGACAAACACACGAAGACTCCATTCCCCGAATAATTTCCAATTCGTGCGCCGCTAAATTATTAATTGTTCAGATGTTCTGAAGGCAAACAAAGAAGTAATTTTCCCTAATCGATATTTTCGCCTAACTAAGTGTTCCCTTTCATTAAGGGCTTTGATAAAGGGTGCTACAAATGACGTCCAACACGCATGCCATACAGATGTTTATTGCCACGATGAGGTTGTATCATTCTCGTAGTTTGTGAACAAGGCCTTATGTCAAAAGTTTTAACCATTTACAAGTACTACTACTACTACGGTGTGTAAAATAGCCGTGACTGTAATAAATCCAGCTGTCTATAGTTTGACTAGAGTCACTAATTATTTCGGGTCCCAGTGGCTCAATGGTCTACGAGCTCGCCTCGTAGCCAGAAGGTCCTGGGTTCGAGCCCCGGTGCGTGCGTACTGCTCAGGAGTCTCAAACTACGACGAAACAGCTGTCCAGTACTCCCAGTTGGCTTTCCAATGGTTCTCTAACTAATGTCAGCTCATGATGAAAATCCTGTAATCAATCAAATCCCTACAAACCAACATTTGAATAAAAACGAAGTGTATTTTAGGATTATTATTATCTCGGACAAAGTGATGATTATTATCAAAATCCAAATATGAATTAAAGTAATCAGAAAAAAAATCTTACAATTACAAAATAAGAAGTTATGTACACAGCTATATATAACCTGAGACTAGATAGGAAAGATAAATGCAATAGTTACAAAAAAAACAGTTTCAGCTTTTGTAGGTGAACGGACAGAAGAAAAAATCTTCTGCTCAAACCTGTCAATACTTCCAGTGTTATAAAACTCACTCCCCAAAATAATACAACTGAATTATCCTTGGTGTTAGTTAGCACATGTCATACACAAGATGTATCTGTAGCGGCGTTGAGGTAATCACTTTCAGATAAAAGAGGTATAAACTCTGGAGCAGGGAACACATTACGCAATGAACCAGTTGGAGCTGTGGTCAGCGTTGAATGGTTATCAGTATGGTGGTTACCATCCTTGGGTTTCGTGCACACACTAGCTTCATCATTAGCATTATTGCTTTTCGTAGTAATTTTTACGTTGAATACTTTCTGACGACTAGATTTATTTGTCACTGACTTGCGTAACCATACATGACGTTTAGTACACTGAAACGAAGTGAAAAAGGTGATGCAAAGTAGTGTACTGAAAATGCTTACAGGTTTTTTGGTTGCCTAAAAAGAAGTGTTCGGTGAGTCAGTGGTGTAGGTCACATAGAGACCAGTCTCATGGAGGAAAAAAATTGTGGTAAATGTTGTCTGATAGCGGAGAACGCAAACAAAAATGTATATTATGATTTAGCAGATACTAGTATCTGAAGCAATTATGAACTTCGACAAACCAATAGCGCAACACACACTTTGGACATTCTAATCACACATATATTTGTCACATGTATCCAAATAAAGAATTCAATTGGTGTACGGTGACTAGCAGTGGAATCCAGGATGCTCATTTCGTTCTATTCGGGACTCGCCATCTGGATGTACCTGCATTCCCCAGTGAGTTATGGCGTTCCCACCGATGCTCGAACCCAGTGCCCATAGTTTCAAATGCCAAAGCGTTATCCACTAGACCACTTGGGTAACGAGAGCCACCTCTTGTGCAACGGGTCATATTAATTATCATTCATCCAACTGATGAGTCCCAAATAGGATGAAATGCGCATCCTGGATTCCACTGTTAATCACCATCCACCAATTAAATTCTAATTACATGCCCGGACATCGTCAAAGCATCTGCACACGAAGCCTACATGTCAACCTGAGACCGAGTACTTCGGTCGAATCAATCGACGGGATAATCTAAAATTCATTTTAAAAATATCCATATAAAGGTTAACAGAGGATAACAGATCAAAAATGAATCAATACAGGTCAAAATGTTTGTTCAGGAGTCAAAGCCACAGATGAGAAGTAAGAAAAGGAAATAGTATAATGTAAAATAACCCTTGGTTTTAAAATTGGATAACACAGGTAAGTTTAATGAAATAACAAATAGTTTATAAACAAAAACGGGTTAAAGACTATTTACTACTAAGGCCATACTTACATTTAGGGTAAGAACAAGCTCATATACTGATATATAATGTCTTTCTTCACTACTTTCAGTTGTCTTTCAAACCAAACCCCCTCCAACTAATACTGTGCTGCAGTTCACATTAGTTTTGGTAAGTGTCAGAGACCAGTTACATGACCATGCATAGGCGTACACATTATGGTATGTTGGTATTTTACAACAAATGGACATATGCTCTTGAAAACAATATGCAGAAGTGTATCAGAAAACGTGTGAATCGAATTCCACTTCTTTTGGTTGGAAAAACGGCGAATTTCACAAAACTATTAGGGAGATCCAGTCAGAAAATCGAAATTTAAACCACACAGTCTAGATTAAAATCCGTCAATTTCATCTTGTAAATCCTAAGAATTACAAGAGTATTAAAGTCGGGGCTTGTTTATTTAGACTTCCAGCTTCCAAAATGTCCGTTGCTGACTTCAAGCTCCCTCCATTTGCAGGACTGCACAGCTACGTTGACTGGCATGTAACAAACACTACCTATTTTGACATGAGCTTAGTTGTGGCATAAACATCAAAATGGTTGAGTATATCATCAACTTTGAATGACAGAATTTTTAGTCAAAGAAAGGACACAGGTTACTTTAACGTCGAGAACTCGCCTTACTAGTTACTGTCAGAAAACAGGAGATCCGTATCCCGAGCATTGTGACAACTTGCACCTCAAATCGAATATCTAATTAAAATTTAAAACTGTCATGTCACTGATATAGTTAAACCAACCAGTATTTAAAGAAAGGGAAATAAGAAAGGATGAAAGTTGGAACTGGCGAAATGTCTCATTATCAGGAAGGCGTAAGCTGTGACTACTTTACCGTACCTAATATACTTTCACATGATAAGACAGGTTATTACGGTCAGTAGCAGACAATGCTACACCACTCCATCACATTGAAAAACGGGTATTTGTATCGAATTCGTCTACTTACGATTAAGAGCTGATGAAAAGTGAAGTAGTTTTGCAATGATCGACTGCAAAATTGCGGAAACAGAACAAAAGCGCATATAGAAGTCAAAACTATTGAGAGAAGAATAATTTACTTTTTAATTAGATCCTTATATCTGGCTCTAATTGAAAAATAAGTATTTCTTCGCTCAATTATTTTGTCTTCTAAATGCGGATTTTTTTGTATATTGAAAGGCATATATGTTATAACTGCCCAACAAGGATAAAAATGAACTTACCAAGCGACCACGCGAACAACGTCCCGTGGTGAAATCTGAACAAATGACAGTATCGGGAGGATAATTGACATGTAGGTAGGGACACTGATCACGATCACAGTTTCCACTTTCATAAAAACTGCATTGTGGTAGTCTACATGGATCTAAAACATGAGCAAGTGGACATGCATCCTTTCCCAAAGGACAAATTCGTAGTAGAAACCTGTGAAAAACATAATTGAGAAAAAGCACGTGTAGAAAGTGACATATTGAAGATGACAGTTAATGATGTTACGAAAGTATGAATGTCTTTTCAAGTTATTCTCAAGTACTTTATTACCTCTAATGTATTATAGTACAACTTTCATCTAATAAATTAGACGGTGTTTAGACATTCTAAAAGCATAATGTTAACCAAAGAACATTACCCATCCGAAAATCTGTAAGTTATACTTAGAGTCTAATTATAACACGAGTTAGAATGCCAACGACATTCTACTAAAGCAAAAGGAAAATAGCCAAAATGAAAATTAAAGAGGCATCAGCTGTAAATACATCAACTTTACTTAGTAAGTTAATGAATCAACTTGAAACTAATTGAGAATGAGAAATAAAAGGTACTTGGCTATGAAGGAGGGATAACGTCAGGTAAGTATTAAAGTTACTACAATGAGAATTTTTGAGGTATTACAACCTAAAAGATCGCAAAGCTTATGATAGGCAGTTATAACTCATTTAACTAGAACATTTTTCACACATTAAACTATGAGTTACACATATTATGTGAGAGCAGGTCTTGCTATCTAGTTTTCAGGTTGCAGTAGGTGGATCGGGATCCGCGCCCGGAATTGACTGGGTCAAGCCAGTGAACAACATTTACACTTGCGCTTTTAATACCACTAATTATCGCCATTAACTTCCGCATCAAGTGTGATTTGCTGATTACTGTACGACCTGGAAACATTACTATATCCTGATAATCTTTATTTCAAAGATTTTGACACTATGGGGATTTCTGTTAACAGAATTTACTTGTTCACCACAATAGGTTGTTGCATTTTGACTTGATATTTTCAAATGCACTTAGCATTCAAAAGCTTTTTGCCATTCAATCTTTCACAATGTGCATCAAAATGAAGAATAGCCAAATATTGAAAGCCTGTTAAGTTGCAGCTTGCAATGACTTGTCAGCAAAATATTCGAAATAAATACTATCAAACTGCAAAGATCCTAGATACACCCTTTTAGAAAACAATATAACGAAAAGTACTAAGGATAATTACGTGAAATTTTTAATCGAAGGAATGCAAAGTAAATTACAAATTATCACTCATTCCTAAATACATTGATGACGACGAAAATGTGAAATTAAACGAACCAACGCAGCACACAACATTGCACAAACTGTGTTAAGCTAATACGAATCAGATTTAGTCCCAACTTACGGAATATTCATTTACCTACCTATAGGTCTCTCGCAAGCGGTATTACTGGCAGACAACTGGTAGTTCTCATATCAGGTAGTGGTTCGTAACAGAGGAATACGACCTGCATGACACGTTCCATTAGTATTTAAAGCAGCGGTATATAAATGCAAACTAGTGTGTTCGGATCACCAATTTTATGCTTCTGTATTACAAACTGTTGGGACGACGGATAGAAGTTATAATGTTGAAATTACTGAACTCGTTTCTGATAACGGTGTTTGGCCAGAAGTATGACACGTGGTGTTATTCCACTCAAGGATGTGAAAACCAACACACTTATCCTAAGCACAAATATTTCTTCAAACAGCTGAATGGTTAATATCATTTGCATTTGTCATACCGAGGTACCACCGTAAAACCAATGGTACAAGATACTCTGTGGACTGGAATTCGAGGAAGTAGAATCACAACATTTTGTTAACCTATTACTGATAATCAAAGATTCTAGTCTTTATAACAATATTTGAACAGCCTTAACAAAATTGCTAACCACGATCTGTCAAGTGACTAAATTAGTCTATCACCCAAGTTACCAATTATATCAACCACACCCACTTTCCTAAATCGAAAGATTTTAAAAAACCACAGATATCTATACAAGCGTAGACATGTGTGAGTATCTGCTTATATCATAGTAAGGTTAAAATATTTTCTTAGTAAGATGAAATATAAACGAGAAACTAGTCTCACAGAGTGCAATACTGACTGCTTCTACATTATTAAAATTGCAAGTCCTTTAAGTTTGGTAAACACGATCTGATGAAGTCTGAATTCACTTCCTTAGATCTGTTTAAAATCACAAACATAAATAGGTTCGACAAGAATCCTGAATACCTACTTACTTTGGGCATATACGCAGGTAGTTTTCATCATGAGTGAAGGAACATGTTACTGAAGGGCATTTCCCAGTTCTGCAGTATATTTGACATACTGGTCGACGTCGGAACTTCAGACTTCGCACAGCTTTCCGCACAATTTTCCTTCAAAAGGGCATGATGAAGTTGCCAAACATACTTGTAGTGAAATCTTGATGAGTAACTGGAAGATTGCTGGTTCATTTTCTTGACTAAAAACTTACTATTAACATTAATACCCCCTAGAGTCTCAAGCTTTGGAGTGTGTAAACTACTTCCGGGTTTAATATATTTAAACCTGTCTACATTTTTAGCATGCATCTTCGTACTCAATGATCTAGGCATGTGTAATAATGCAGATTTAACTCTGGTACTAGGAGACTCATTAATAGGCTTGTTAATTGACTCCTTAGCTTCAGATTTAATGGCATTACTATCCTTCCTAACGTACTTGTAAAGGTTGCTTCTCTTACTTGCTGCAGTTACTGAGATATTGTTTGGTATACATAACTGGCTTCGAGTGCAAGAACCACCCCTATGAACCTTACTAAATATATATGAGTAATCCTTTCTGGTAGGAACCAAACTATTTGATCCCGAAAGAGCAAAGTCCGACCTTGTCTGTTTGGTCCATTTAAGGGAACTCCCTGACACACGCGAAGACGATGATGTGCCGTCCTTCACGTACTTGTACCTATTCTGACAAGAAACGACATTAGGGCGCTCTGACTGACCGGCAATCCACTTTAACGACCTAGTATTAAAATTCATTTCAGGTTCCAAGTCCCCTCGAAAATCCCGCTACAATCTATCCCACAGAAGCCACAAGTAGGCAGGCAGTATTATTGGTCTGTTAAAACACAAATTATGTAGGGTGAAGACAATTTACAGCAACCATAAAATGATACTGATGAAAAAATATGAATAGCGTTATGTAAAATCCCCTGGGATTTTAAACAAATTTATATAGTGAATGATTAAAACATCTGCTGCGACAACTCTGCTTCAATCTGATCCGTTGGTTTAAACCCAGAACCTAACTATAAACTAGTCGTCAACTTTAAATCCTTACCTCGAACTAACAATTAACCGTAAAATTCATCCCTTCCCTGACTACTAATTCTAATCTGACCGTTAATCTAAAGCCAAGACGTTGAAAGTAGATTAATCACATCTCAAGGTAGCTCACTTAAGCAAAACTGACACTGCACTCACAACCAGTAGAAAAATTGCCTGCTCAGGGACATTTGGTGTCAGCTAAAAACTTAACCCTCTCAGGCTTACTGTTTTCACATATCGGTACATCAAGGCTGATATTACTATAGGAAACATCTAGGCTAAAGTATAGCGATCCAAGAAAAATAATAATCGGCTTTATTCCTAAACTAGTACTTATAATACAGAATGGAATTATCAGCGTTTGTCACAATATTGCACCTGATATACTCAAAATATAAACAAAATTAAAAATATAAATAAAATTAACCAGAGGAATTCGTCCACATTTGCGATATAAAGTGAAAATATTCGAAGCGCGAATTGAGTATTTTAAATATAGCAATAATAGTAATAACAGTGGGTTTGTTTCAAACAGTATTGTCCATTGAGTTTGAAAACTTCAGCATGTTATAGATTATTGAATCTAAGGTTCTGTTGAAATAGTTAGGTGAGGGGAAATACAAAATTAACAGTTATAACACAGCTTAAATGATGTTCTTACTTATGAAAAATAAACAAATAAAAACAAAAAATTGAGCGGACTGTCAATATAAGAAGTACAATAACAATAAAGATTGATGTTGCAAGGGTGGAGGGAATGGTTTATTTAGTAGTGCAAGGAAGGTTAGTTCATACCTAACACTATTTTCACCACATAAAGTACGTGCCAAAGGGCCGGCTAAGTGGCCCTGAGTAGACAGTTGGGTAGCTTGCATTTTAAATAGGTATTGTTTAAATAAAATAATTTCAAGGGAAACAAATGCAAAGTAATCATTCAGCGTAGCATCCTTCTTCGTCATTCGGGGTCTTTGGATTAGTCCGGACTAGTCATTGCATGGGAAGTCATCAAGTGGACTGTATGCCACGTCATTTTTTAGTTATTCGAACGCTTCCGGAATACTTCTGTGAAATTAATGTCCTTTCCATCCAAGAGATAGTCAAAATCAGAAAAATGACTTACAATTTTGAGTATATTCAGATGACCACTATTCCATTCGTCCAGGTGGAGAGATATTCTGCGTATGGCAAGATGTCAAATGACTGGCATTAGTACATTCGCACTGGGATCAGACATAAATTTTTTCCGCAGAGTGTCATATAATCTCTATATCCATTTTGTATTTGCACTAAGTTACTTGGATAGTGGCTATGCCGGGTAGCTACACTTATATTCGATAGAGGAAATTTGCATTTTTAATGAATAAAATAAAAATGAAAGTATTCGTGTGGTAAAAAATTACACGAACTTCTTGCACTGATAAACGTCACAATCTTCAATGCCTGCTTTCTTCACATCATTCATCACTCATACCCGAAATATGGAAATTACTACTACCAATCATATCAAGTGATAATCCAGTGAAAAACAATGGAACTATATAAATGGATTTAGGAAGTTGTGTGATTACCTTGATATGATTATGAGCAATAAATTGTGCTCGAAAAATCATCAGTAAACATTACTGTATAACGCTGTGAGACTTTATCAAAACAAAATTTACCCATAATAGAATTATACTCTACCGCATTGCATAAGGTTTATTCTTATACCAAGTCTGACTGTTTGGAACCTGTTGTTAAAGAATGATTTAATCCATCCCATCAGCGGTTCGCCTATTCCTAAGGAATTCATCTTACGTATCAGCAGTAAAACGTCAATGCGGTCAAATGCCTTAGAAATGCCAAAGTAGATGACGAGTACTAAATGCCGTCTGTCACGACCGCTGGTCACAAAATTAAAGAAGTCTAGGTGGTAAGTTAAACATGATCTAGATTTTAGGAATCCATGGTGGTTCGGACTTGCAATATTGCAGCTAAGCACATGCTTGTGTATATTATCTTTAACTAGTCCCTCCATAATTATAGATGCTATAGTTTTGGTATTGGTTGGCCTGTAGTTGTTGACTTCTGTTTTCGAGCTGCATTTGTGTTTAGCTGCAATAAATATCGTTTCCTGTAGGCCTGCAGGTAGGAATTACTTACTACCACAGTTTTACACATGCATCCTGTAGGTTCGAGTTTTTAAGGACATTGTGAAGATTTCAGGCGGTTAAATGAGAAAGTTAGGAATACCATATTTATATAAATACTGTGGTATTCCTTTTTTTTATCCTTCACGTCCCCCAGTGGAACATAGGGCTTCAAGCTAGTGGCTTGAAGCTTCTGTAGCAGTGTTTATTTTACAGGATAGGGTTGCTAGCCTCATGCCCAACCTTTCCTCTTCACCAGCATTATTTCTGGCTTAGCGTGGTAAAGGAGTGCGTCGGCCGGGGATCGAACCCCGGACCATGTGCATGGTCGGCGAGCGTCCTAACCACTATGCCACCGACGCGTGGTATTCCGTTAGTGGTCTGAAATTAAGAGCTACAGAGAGTTATAATGCTGTTACGTCTAATAATCCATCTTTAAACACTGGAGCTGTGGTTAATATAGCATTCTGCATTTTGTGTCAGTCAGACAGTTTTTGCCTCGTTGGAATCCTGTAAATTTCTTGTTTAATTATACATTTGGACTAATTGTGAACCAATTTCGGGTTCAACCATTGTACTCTTTGTAATCGGACGCTGGATAGCCTCATTTATGAATGTTTGTAATATGTTTACCTGATACACTTTGTTCAACAGTAATAGAACAACAATCATTCAGTTCTTCAAAATTCTGTTTTCGATATAATTCTGTTTGGAGTCATCTGGCTTTGTTTTGGATTTGGTCAACTGCAATTAGAATCGTTTGGTTTATTTGGGATTTGGTCGAGTTTCTTTGGAACAGTTTGGTTTCATTTCGGTCTGGGTTAAGGCTGCAAGGCTGTATCTTCAAGGGTTATTCGTGTGGTGCCTGTAACAGATGGCTTAGTTAATATCAGTACATGTGAATTCAACAGCAATATTTTGTTTCAGTGTAGAAAAGTGGGAAGTAGCATCGTATCAGCAGAGTTTATTTGGAATATCGGTGTTGTGAGCTTGAGGTGATTTTCACACATTCACAGAGTCATTGTATAGCCTTGTTTTGGACGAGGAGTGGAATGCTGTGGTTTTGCGATTCGGTCACTCCTTTAGGATTTCTGTGACAGCAAATAAAATTAACGGGGCTGACTAGTGCGATGCGTTCTTCATTCCTCATACGCAAATCTTGAGCTTGTGGAACCGAGCTAATAAAAATCGCCATTGCCCATGGTGAGGTAAAGTCGTGATGGTTGAAGTAACGTTCTGAGAGCCTCCTCATTTTCGTGCAGTCCTTTGGTTTCGTAAATGACTTCCTACAAAGGCAAACTTCTAGTGTTTGGGGTGGTACGTTGTAAACCATAGCACTCAATTTTGTATTTAGTCTTTCGGTGAACTCTGTTGTGTTGAAGTCTATCAGATTGTCTACATTGGTTACTGATTCACAGTCGATTTCGCCGAGGCTAATCGTTTTTGTCAGAAAATTCAGGGCTGCTAGTTCAAAAATGAACTATTTGATGTCACTAATATGTGCTGGTAGTTCAGATGAACTGGCCATATTTTCTGAATATCCTGCATTCATAGGCCTACCACACTTTATTTCCCATAACTTAGCCTTCAGCTCTTGTATAGACATATTTATTCATTCTGTTTGTGAAGTAAAGGTCGAAGCCGAATTTGGTGGCTGAAGTTTGGTGATGCATATATAAGATATAGTAAGGGATATATGTTAGGACCAGGAGCTGAGTTTGTAGGAGTGAGTTACTACTACTAGTTCTCAGCATATTTTTACTGTAAGTTCCAGCCGCGTTAGACGATAGTGACAAGGCAGCTCTATGCTTGTGGAGTACTGGCGAACTATGTGACTTACTACCAGATTTTATATGCCCCTTGGTGTAGAAATCTAGCATAGGATTAACGGGTGACTCAGTCTGTGGCCTTTTTTATTTGATTAAACTCAAGCAATTAGCGGGAAAGTTTTTGGTTACCGGTATGGAACTAGAAAAACACTCGTGAAAGGTTTACAAGAAAAATATAACCCTGTGTTTTGCAGATTCAGAGCAAAGATTCTGTAGCTGCAGTCATGGCTCTAGTTGAGCTCAAGTCTTAACTTACCTCTGAAAAACAAAGGCACTAGATGGATAACCGTGTACATAGCTCTGAAACCGATATCCATGCTGAAAATTCCATACTTGCACTGAAAATACGGTGTGGAATCAAGCTGTAATCAAAATAAATAAATAAATAAATAAACCGAACCGACGTTCTTGGGAAAGTCGTTTCTAGGCGGAGGCTGATACTAGGCTTATGCAACACAGTATGACACCGCCATCCAAATGTAGTAAGTGCTTATAAACCTCGTAACGCTCGGACAAGCAATCAGGTAGGCACTATGTCTTCTGTATGACTAAAATTTTCTTCACCTATTGTATATCAATGCTGTTCCCGTGTGTTTCATATTTCACGTATCCTTTACTGTGCTTTTGAGAATGAATGTTTCAAGAACAACCTTTATTCTTCCGAAATATAATGAGCTATCTGTCGGCAATTCGAGTAATTTCTCTGACGGAAAAGTCGATTTTTGAAAATGCTGTGTAACAAGTCTGTTTTTAGCTTCAAATGATTGTGTATCACGTTGTAGTGTGCATGCTTCTGTCGATGTGTTCTTGCTAACGCGTTTGACACAGCTCAGCATGAACTTCATCTAGATGGGAGGAGATGTTGCACCAGAATAACTGGAGTCCGATTATCCTGGGGCAGTACGAAATCGGCAGTATTATAGTGTTCTTCCGTGGGGGCCTCCAAGATTTGACTGTATCAATGACTTCACGTATCAGCTAAACTGACTGACCCTTCTTAACGCTGACAACGTAGATTCAGAGAGCAGTAAAGTGCTCTGAAGATTCAAATGGATTGCAGACAGATCTGGAAGATCTTGGAGACTGGGAACTTATCAGTGGTATGACTCTCAACCCAAAGGATGAAAAGTAATGCAACTTCTTACATTGCGGGCCGTAAAGTGCAAGTTGCTCGGAAGGAAACGACAACTTGTCCTGTGTAACGTCAAAGAGAGGCACAGACTTGGTTCTAACGGAAAAGTGACACAATCGGGAATCACACGGACGATATGGTAAGGGAAAGTGCGGCCATACAACTTGTGCATAGGCAGTTGGGTTAGTTTACTACCAAGCTTCTTCTAAGGTTGTGCAAAACACACATCGCTGCTTCGCGATCGGTCAGAAGGCATACCAATCTTTTGAAACGGGTCCTAAGGCGGTGACTGTGAGGCGACAGGTCACCGGAATAATTCTTATGATGGAAGGCCGAAGGAATTAGGTCTTTTTACACAAGGACTGCGTTCAAATGATCTATACATTGAAAACTCTTATATCCCACTATCACTGGTTATACATCTAAACTTTTCCATTACCACGATACGCTCCCTCTTGTCCCACCCTTCCGACTGCTCTTCTTATTTGCTCACCTATCCAATAATTAATTTAATTATTCTCATTTATTTTTGAATTGTCAAACTTCATTAGCTATCTTTTCCTGTGTTTTCTATTTTACGTCCAGTTAATCCACATTTATTAAGCCCATAATTATTTATTTCTCCTTTTGACGGGTAATGGGTGGAAGGATCAACTCCATTCACATCAATTACACGATCTTAAGAAACCGCATACAACAGACCACAAACGACGGACCCCGCACCACTCCACTTCAAATCGACCAAATTTTTGAAAGTCAAATCACGGGAAACGATACCTGGAATTTTACGAAAGATCAGACTCCTTCGCCTTGCAGCCAGGAAGCGAGCACAAAGAAACCAATATGGATCACAACAACTCGTAATTAACCAACATTGGATCCGCGCCAACTATAACTAGGTTCGCTACAGTTAAACTTTTCTGGTCACATGTTTTATGTTGGGTATTTTAAGTATTGGGAGATTATTACTTAAAATTTCAAAAGACTGTTGTATTAGATAGGTAGCTAGATCTCTCTAAGTGGTCTTAGTTTGTTGTGTATAGTTAAGCTGTTGGACTACATCGACGGTTGTTGATAGACAATGTCCAGACATTGTTGACTAGTACCTGGGATTTAACAACTGTTAAATCCCCGTTACTGTTCAACATAAAATCTATCTATATGGGACTTAAGTTTGCAGTCATTTAGACTAATTTTTGAAACGTCAATGTAAAGCCTAGTTGGCGTTTGTAAACTGATGTGTTAAGACGCATAATTATCGTGTTTGTTAATACGCGATCGGAGAACTTTTTCTTGAACCTCTACAGTTGGTCAAAACGTGGATAGCGTGGCTTTCAGGAAGTGGGTGTCTCCAATATTTTGAAGCACGTTATTTCAAATTCATTCATAATCTGTCTTGATATCCCAAGCTTACAACAGTTCTAAACTTATTCTAACCTATTCTTCGATAATGCCTTTTTATGGTAAATGAAGATTTTATCTACACACTATGTTCTGAAATGACGCTGGTCGCGCTTAGAAAGAGAGCTGGGTGCTGAATTAAGTCTTTTCGTTCTGAAGTAACGCTAGTCCGCGCTGAATATGTCCTGTGAGGGCTGAAACAACGCTGATAAGCAAACGCAGTAGGTTCTGATCTACTCCTGAGAATGCCTAGAAAAAGAACACGGTGCTGAATTAGTGCCAGTCATGCTGAAAACCAGCACTGAGTTCTAGTCTGTGCCATTAAAGAATCCATTTCAGAACAGATTCAGAAGTTACTCACTATAGAACGTGAGAATTATTTCAGAATAAGTGAGATTTAATTTAGCATTATGGTAAGCTTGGGTGGTGACAAGCTGGCTAGTCTTTCCTTGTCATAAGCGTAATAAATTTGTTTCGTTGTATCACTGTTTTCATAGATAAAGTATCTAGCAATAATTTATTGTACTTTTTAAATGATGTAAGCGTTTTCATAGAATTTACAGGTTTCATGTCACCTCCCTGTGAATTGTAGACTTTTGATAATTATTCTTTCTAGTGCTCATGAAGCAGTGAGTAAGTAACTTGGGCATTTTTTGATTCCACATCGACTGAGCTGGTTAAGATTATGTTATACATACCTAAGTATAGATATAATGGAGAAGATTTATAGCTCAGGTGGATGATTTTGATGTAATTGTGTTCGCTGAGCTGGATGGTTTATTTGCGAAGCTTACATTGCCCTACTGGGCAACATATTCATCCGATTCTGCCTAGTAGATCAATGGAAGCTTCGCAAGTAAACCATGTAGCTCAGGTAACACAACTACGCCAAAATACCTGGGTATCTATTCACTCAGTGAGCTGTTTTGAAGACCATCTAGGTTTGGATGCACAACCAATCCTAAGAGCAATAAACTCGGTCATTTTATTTTACTGTTTTGCACATTTGATATAATTGTCACCTATTTACTTCTTTGAAGAGTCGGCGTGAACTGTGTTAAACTTCATGTTTATGTCTATTTGAAATCCTTGAGTCTTTAAAATGACAAATTTCTTGTCTGTAAAACTGGGAAAGTGATACAGGGTAACCTTTTTGCAACGTGAATAAACAGTATGGAGATAAATTTAGTTGGTTTTACGTGTGACACTTAACACAAGTATTTCGACGGGTTCAGTAAATTTAGTATTGGTGTTTACTTTAAAGTATACTAATCTACTTATTTTATATTCTCAAATAGGCAAGAGTAAAGAATAGATGCCACAGTTAAATGACCCTGAACCAACCAATTAGATCGCCCAGTATTACGGGTGATTGCTATTCTTTATCCTAGTTACAAGTTTCACCCTGATTCAGGGTTAGGGTTAGAGAAGGATTAAGGTAAGGTTTTGGTTAGTGGCAGGGTGAAACTTGCAACAAAGATTCGGGTTAGGATGGAACTTGCATTTATAATTATGGGCAGTATCCATTTGAAATGCTGAACAATATGACTACCGTCATTAGGTTATATTCATCATACAGTCAACCATTCATCAGAATTAGTGGATCCTTTAACTGCTACTCATACAGATTCTGGTGTATTTACCACAGCCACTCCTATAAAAAAATTAGACTTTTTGCAGCATATTATCCTTGCTATATATATATATATATATCCAGTAGACATTTTTATACTGTAGATGCCACTTTTTGCCTAGAAGTATATGATAGGCTGGCTCAAGATCGTTTGACACGCGTGGGTGCCTCTCAAATAATATTTCCTCCAAATCCATTTTCATGTGAATACTCAGAATCAAATCACCGTCGATTTGTGTACAGTTTGAGTCTGACCGCAGGAAAGTTATTCTTTCTAAGCATATAAGCCGATATTTATTAATTCTTTGCCTTTTTTCTCACACTTTTAGAATATTCATATGCTCAAATTCAAGTTGTGCGAGAATGTTCTACATACATGCAGTCGTGGATACTCTAAAAAGGTGAAAGCAAGTGAGTATAAAGTGAATATTAACTGTATTTTTTTTAGCCAAAGGTATTGCTGCTGTCGCTAAAGTTCGTGAAATTAAAGTGGAATCAGATCCGGAAAAAATTGTGAACTGTTGTTGCATTAACTACAGAATAGGTGAACAACCTATTCCATTAAAACCTGATAGGTAGTTTTCTGTTTTTTTAAAAAAAATTTTTTATTACACAACTTAGTGAATACCCAGAATGGCTCTGGAAATTAAGAGTAAACAGGCGTTCTGTCCCTCTTAGTGAAGTCGACAAAAACTCTTATCAGTATTGGAGACGAATCAGAAAGATGAATCGTGACTTAATAAATAATTTGGCTTCTGTAGACGGTTGGCATAGAAAAGATCATCGATCATTTGGGAACCAAGCTCTCCGGTTTTACGGTGACTTATACCTAGCTGTAAGTGATTGGTCTAATTCAAAAAAATTACTGGAAAATAAAAGTGAATGAGAAGTACTTGTTTCTTTTACTTTTGTGACTTAATATAGATTAGCAGTTAACTTTGTGGGGTTGTGGTTCATTGGTTTAGGCTTACAGTCACGGATTGTGGGTTCAAACTCTACTTCACTCACCGTGTTTTAGGCAGCCAGGTGGTATGATTGTGCGTCGGTGGCACAGCGGTAGAGTGCTCGCCAACCACGCAGGTGGTCCGGATTTTGATACCCGGCCGACTCACTCCCTTACCTCGCTAAGCCAGTGGTAAGACTGGTAAAGAAGGAAGGTTGGGTATGAGGCTAGCAACCTCATCCTATAAAAATAATCGCCACTGCTACAGGAACTTCAAGCCTCTAGTTTGAAGCCCTATGTTCCACTGGGAACGTAGAGTAATAAAAAAAGGTGGTATGATTACCTCCTTTCATATAATGGTTTTAGGTCACTGCTAACTGCATGACGACGTAAGTGATTATTGAATAAAACTTCATTTCATCACATCACTTGCGTTGTAATTAATCGTCTTATTGAAACGTATTTACATGAATCTATATCCCTTATATAAGTGAATAGTTTTAAAGCTTGCAATAATAAAAGAAGCATCGAGTGATGATTCTCCGCATGTAAGCATATAACGTTTTATAAAATATCAATTTTTGTAATAGTTTATTCCGCAGAAATTAATTTATGTAGAACTGTGTTTATTCACCTCAATTTGTACAGTCTTATACCGGTTTTTGAATCTGTATATAGTGCTATATCACTAGGAATTCATTAGTTTTCAATGACTTACGCGACAAAAGATATTCACGTTAAGACGGTGAAAAAAGCTTGCTCACTTTACAGCTTGATATTCATTTGTTTTTGGTCATCCTACTTTTTACTCTTCTTATCACGCAATGAATCTAAATTCTATTGACTTGCGTAATTTCCAGTTATATTTGTTTCCTGTTTTTCACCCGGGTGTATATGTCTAGTAAAACTGATTGCTTCTACTTGTCACTTTTCACATAGCTATCGTTTGTAGTAGTAGTAGTAGTGTAACGACAGAAGACAAGGGCCTGGCAACAAATTGTTTATTGAGCAAATCAAGAGATATTTATAGATTTTTATGTACATTATTGTCAGTGGAGAGGCAACGTCTTCAGAAGGTTATTCTGTACTTCTTGTAGCCGTTTCTTAGAAAGTTAAGCCATATATCTGCGAATCGTATTTGTACACGTTAAGTCTGATGTGGTTGGTTGGTGAGTTCCTCAAGATTGAGCTTTGTTATTGTTTTTTCTCATGACCTCGATTCGGGACGTAAACATTGACGTAAACTGTTGTCTATAATTGTGGCTTGCAGACAGTTCTCACCACAGTAGTAGTAGTACTATCCAGTCAGTCAATATAGCTCTTGAGGTAGTTAGAAATTAAGTAAAGCTTTCTTTTCAACTCAGTAATAGGATTACATTACTACTCGAAGGAATCACTTTAAGGATTTAGTTATGTCTACAGGTCTTAGTTTTTTTTTTTGAACAATATAAACAAGAAGATACAGTGGTGGCATCTGCGATATATCCCATCACAGATGCAAATATATTTCTGAACACTTGGAAACGTATGAGTTCAAGAGCATTACCAATTGATCTTAGATGTTATAAGTACTTATATATTCGTGAAAAATTCCTACTGGGACATATAGAAAATCAATATAAGTGATTCAGTGAACAGATACCTTGCAATGAATTTATTTTGTATACTTTGGTTTGTAAGGGTTAGTTATGTTTTTACGAGTTGATCACGGATTGATATCAGTTAGAGAACCATTGAAAACCAGCAACGGAGTACTAGACAGCTGTTTCATCCTAGTTTGGGAATCATCGGCAGTACGCACCCACTGGGATTCGAACCCTTACAAACCAAACTATAGAAAATTAATCTGATTCTCGCTAGTAACTTGCTACAGGATGGACTTTCCTGGAGTTCTTGTGAAAATTCGTGACCAGTGAGGTCCATCCAGAGGTCACGTGTGAAGATGGATGTCCCACCGACGACATTGGTTGGGGTCGCGCTAAATCACGAATTGGTAGAAGTTAGGATTCATGAGCCAGTTGTCTAGTACTCCATTGCTGGTTTTCAATGGTTCTCTAACTGATATCAATCCGTGATCAACTCGTAGAAATGAATTTATTATCAAGCTGTACAGTCGTGGTTCTCGAAGATATTAAATCATTTCAGGAGATTGAAACAAATGTGGGAATACATGAAATAATAATAGCAGTAGTATGAAATGCAATTAAAATGCTTGTAATTGTAGTCATAATTAAGTATCAAGTGGCAAAGCAATTAATGTCATATATAATAGAATAATTCATGGGATATGTACAAATGTTGGAAGGGATTGCAAAGTTACAGAATAAGTAGGCAAATAAAAGCGTTACATAACATGGTGTGAAATTCAACAACACAGAATTTCAACACTGCGAAAATTCTTCGATTTAGAATGACAAGTGGGATAAGCGGAATAATGCTGGAAACAGTTCAGAGTGAGAATAGTAATAGTAACAATCGACGTAATAAGTGAAGAGTATACAAATTGAATAAACAAAACAAAATATGAATGGGGATCATCAAACTTCAGCGTAAACGGATTAAGACCATGACAGTTGGAGGGGTCGAAAAAAAAACTTTCTCTGGCTTTTCTATTACGATGGCCAAAGCCACTTCAGCAGCACAGATGAGTCGGATACGTGGTGGTTACTTTTCATCGCCTTGAAGATAACTTTAAAGGAAGAGGTTGTTGAGATAAGGCGACCAGTATCGACCAGATGTTCAATTATTGTGCTTCTTATTGCTCCATTCCCACCTTTTTGTAACCATTCAGGATAGTGATCTTGCACAAAACCAAACCGTAACAACGTAACTCCACACGAGCACGTAAATCGATAAACGCACATAGAGTTGGTCAACTGCGGAATCTTATTCTTCAGATTATTGAACAGTACTGACCGACTAGGAAACGCTATTCTCAACGGTGCTGCAGAGAATGTCCTTTTCAAGGACTGTGAGTTCCTTCTTTTAAGGTTCTTGGCAGCTAAGTCACTTTTGAATTCAAGGTTCATGTAAGGCATTTTCTTGGTTACAGACGTTAAGTCACATTTCAAATTCTTAGCTGCATGTTCTTGTCTATAAAACGTGGAGGAAATCCACTTTCCACTGGGATTTTTCTTAGAACATTTAACTCTTCCTCTACATCATCAGGAATACATATGCGGTGAATGTGAATAGCAAGTGACCGAATTAGGTTTCGTTTACCATAACTGGGTACCCCGTTGCATAAATTTTGTCAATTGACCATTCCATGATAACTTTCTATAAATTAATCTTTTCAGAATTCCGTCGGCCCGCCTTGATAAGTGCACATCGAGAAAGTAAATGCTAGGCTCTTTCTCCATTTCTAGTGTGAATCTCTGCATGGCAAACATTAAATACATTTATTATATTATTCAATTAATTATCACAAATAATAAAGATGTCATCTACATTACCTTTTATACATTTGGATTGTTGACTTCAACTGATAATTTTCTAGACTGGACATAAAAAAAATCTGCAATGAGAAGATGCAAAGGAGAACCCAATGCAATACCATCCTTTTGTCTGTAGTTTGTGTACATTCATTGTATATTTCTAAAGTAGTTCTTCCAAATATGTAGTAGGTATCCCTATATTCATCTTGTTGTCCTCAACATATTTGCATATAAAACATATGATTTCTGTCGATGGAACGTTTGTAAGTAGGGGTTCTACATCCAAAGACTGAGTTCAATAAATAAAGCATGACGAGTGCAATAATGCTAGAGATTTTCAAGTATCGGTTTTTGTTTGATTGGTTGGAGGATTTCATCTTCAGCTGACATCAGTTAGAGAACCATTGGAAATTCTGCAGGAAGTACTGAACAGCTGTTTCGTCAGCCTAGTTTGGGGCTCCCCAGCAGTACGCACCCACCGGGCTTCGGACCCAAAACCTTCTAGTTACAAGCGTGACCACTAACCATTGTCATTGGCTCAGGTTCCAATGGTTCTCTAACTGATATCAGCTCATGATGAAATCCTTCAACCAATGCTGAGGATTGTTCAAAGTGATGAAAACAATAACACGCTAGTTGAAAGAATAAGTAATGGCCAAGGTAGAAATTGAGACTGTAATAATTTCATACATCTCATCCAACAGCTGTACGACAATGCTGCATGCCAAGTAATCCACAACGGGAAACTTACGGAATCCTTCGAAGTGAGGACAGGAGTAAGACAAGCTGGCTGCCTACTATCGCCAATGATTTTCCTGATTGAAGTAGATTGGATAATGCGACAAACAGCGGGCAATGAGGAAACAGGCATAAAATGGACTCACACAAAAAACTTGGAGGATCTGAACTTTGCCGATGATATATGTCTGATTTCCAACAAACTGGAAGATATGCAAGCGAAAAGCCACAAGTTGGCAGAAGAAGCATCCAGAGAAGATAGAACTTCAGGTGAACATAGAGAAAACAGATGTGGTGATGAGGATTCCTGGACAAGAACAACAACAACAGACAACAATCAGCATAAATGGTAGAAACCTGAAAGAAACAACCTCTTTTACCTAACTGGGAAGCATCGTTTCAACTAGAGGCGAACGGAACTGACGAGGATACCAAAGCAAGGACCGGGAAAGCTGTTATGTATGTGAATATGAGGACCTTGTAGACTACGAGCGAATCTAACTAATGCGCTGGCTAATCTGTCTTAATCGCACGTCAACAACAACAACAATAATACCGCCGGGCACGCAAGACAAATAAAAGAGAAGACTGGACGTTGATATGAGAGCTTTTACTGTCTCAAACAACGGTCGAAAATGTTAAACAACAACTCCGTATTTATACAATTAGAAAAATCAATGTCACATTTTAAGAATATTAACGACCTTGGGAATTCAGTAATTTAAATCAATAATCACGCAGATGCGTGAAATCAATGATTATGCTAGTGTGTG